GTAGGTGGATAGAGGTACAGGGAGAACATGGGCCTGGGACAGGACCATGCCATGCCTGGGTGCCAGCTACAACATGGGTCCACACTAAGGGTCATATGGCCCCACTATGAGACATAACTTAGAATCTCTCGCATGTCTAACATGTTTACAGGGTGTTAAACAGCCTTAGGTGTTTAGACCCAGAACAAAGGCTAGTCCACAGCTGCAGCCCTGAAACATCTGTCTACGATGCCCAACACAGTAGCCAATAGCCACTTGTAGCCACTGAGCACTTAAAATGTGACTTGTGTGACTCAGGTCCTGCATTTTACATTTAATTTAATATAAATTTAAAAACTGCTAATTGATCCAATGAACTAGTTCATTTGGAACTTGGTCATGTGAAAATGTGGAACTTAGACATTTGTGAAAATATAGATCAAGTATTTTCGATCAAAATTTAGTGTCCTAATTAAGATGTTGTAAGATACGTGAAATGAGATTTTAAAAACAGTACTAAAAGGAAATGTAAAATATCTTAATTTTTATACTGACTGTTGGAACTGCTTAAATGTTGGAAATACTGGATTAAATTAAATGTATGGTTAATATTACTTGCATCTGTTTCTTTTATTCTTCTCAATGTAGCTACTAGAAAATTTTACAATTATATTATTTAGGCTATTGTTTATATTTCTATAAATTCCACTTATTTTTAGTCAGTCAATAGTGTACTCTATAAAAGACTTGGTTAAATTTGACTCTGCCCCCAGGAAAGAAAATTATGCAGCCATTAAAAATCATAAGGACCCGTTAGTGACAAAATGACATTTGATAGTGCTTATATGATTTAATACTGAGAGATAAAGAGAAAGCAGGAATCCAACTAGTGTACAGAAAAACTTGAAAAGATGTGCACACCCAACAAGGTTAACCTAGATGGAAGGCTTGTGAGGGTTGAGAGTGAAGGGGTGGATGAGAGTTCAAGTTGAGATTTCTTTTCTAGTGACCACTGTATATGCAAAGAAACTGAAAGAAAGTGCAGAGGAAATTGTACATAGCCAAAGGATGGGAAGGGAATACCGTATTTCCTTGATTCTAAGTTCCCACTGCCTGCACGATGCACCTTCGACTTATTAACCACTTTTTTGGGGGGAAGGAGGAATAAAACAAAACACAAAACACTATGTTAAATGTACGAATTACAAGACAAATTCTGGATTTCAGGCATCCTGGACTTCCAGAAACAGAATGTTTCAATGTGAAACTACACGTATCTCACAATGGAGGAAATGTGGTATTGGTCAAAATATTAGGATGGGTGATGCCTCTTTCTGAATGGAGGTGGCTTATGGTTTTGGCATTTTTTGTTTTAAAACACTTTCCAAGTTTTCTCCGATGAGCAGAGCTTAACTATTTTTTTTCCTTTTAAAAGGATGCTAGTTAAGATTCTATCTTGATCTCCTGTTTACTCAAGTTTTCAGAACAGAATCAATCCCAAATTATATGTACTTGACCTATAGCAGGAAAATGACTAGAGAAGTCAAAAAAGGCTGGGCTGTTTGTTTTCCCACAGTCCTGGGGTTCACAAGGTGAAAGAGTGGGTCTCCAGAACCAACTGGTTGCTGGAAAACTGGGGTGGGGTATGGGGCAGCAGTGGTGGCTGCATCTCCCAAGGGTGCTCCCACCAGCAGTGGCAGTGGGTGCTGCCACAGGGACCCTTTCCCACCTGGTTGCTTGTTGTTGGGTTTGAGGCCCTCGATCCCGGTGGGCTTGAAGCCCCCATGGGCCCACTCCAACATGGGCTTCAGCTGGTCCTCCAATGAGTCTCCGGGACTGCTGGGGAAGGTCTTGCCAGCCCGCACCCTGGCTTTCTGGCGAGATAAAGGAGAGTCTGTGATGAACAGGAGGGGTAGGTGCTCACCAGGCCATACCCAGGGATTCCCCCAGCTGGGGCCTGCATTCCCCTTCACACTGGGCCCTTTCATAGCCAGGCAGCTGTCCTGAGCTGTGGTATGTGACAGGGAGGAGGGGCCTGCACAGGGAGACAGGCAGGAGGCCATGAGGGAAGAGTGAAGTCTTTCCATACAGATACCAGATATGACCTCTTCCCTGTAGAGAACTTGAGTGGTCAGCTCCCTCTCAGAGGGCAGAGAATCAGAATTAGCCCTACCACTTTTAAATATAGGAGAAGTATGACCTCTGAAAAAGCTCCAGATTTCTTGTTTTATTTCCCTAAAGAAGATGGCAAGGTGTCAAGTGTTAAGTCCTATTTCAGAAGCACCATGAGGATTTACATGTCTAATTAAGCACAGAGTCTGGCTCATAAGTGCTGGACAAAGGTCATTGATCTTTTCAGTTCCGAGTGAAGGTAGAGAAAAGGACAGACCCTGATGGATCTCACAGACAAGAGGGGAAGGCAGCTGGCCTCAGCTGCTGCCCAGTCTTGGCCCTGAACCACACCACTTAAAGGAAGGAGGCTTTGGCAGCTTTGGAAAAGCTTATTCGCTGCTGTGAAAATCATCCTCCACTTCGCAGTGCTCCTCCTTCCTCATTCAGTCCTCAGTACCAACCACTACCAGGTAGAAGCTGAGGAAGTATTCGAAGTCACTGGGAAGTCTCAAATCCCTTCCTCCTTCCCTCCCCAGTCTGGCCCATCAGGCCAACATGTTTGCAATCATCTCCTGCCTGGTCTCCCTGTCCCCTCCGAGCCATCCTTGGCCACATTGTGGCCTGAGCTGGCTTTCTGTTATGTCTCCTGCTTGAACCCTGCTGTCAGGGCCAGGCCCTCACCACCCACCATGTTACCTCCAGAGCGTGGTACATGGCCTTCCTGTAAGAGACCAGTTTATTGAAGGTCGCCAGGTTAAAGTGCTGGCTAAACAATCCCAGAGCCACCAGCTTATCTGCAGAGACCTAAAAGAGAAAGACATCATCAACATCCACTTACACCCTGGACTAGGGTGCCTTGTATTTCTCACAGGGTTATTCCTGGGGATCAATTTCACAGATTCAAAAAAAAGGGAAAAGAAAAAAGGAGAAAATAGAAATGGTACAGACTCCTGATAAACCCTATGGCTAGAAGCATGGTGGATGACACCCCCAGTGTGAGGGTGTCACACTGCTGATCTGAATGGGTAAAATTAGATGCACCTGTATTTGTGTATATTTTAAGAGCAAATGACCCAAGTGGTCCCCAGTGTGGGCCCCTTATGGCTCAGTCTTGCAATTCGTTGTGCATGCTCCAAAAATTAGGCATTTGGCACATGTTCTTCCCTCCTTCGTGAAGGTGACAAATAGTTGTGATTACTTTACTATTTAGCCTTTCATTTATTAAGCTAATTTCATGTACTGTTTAGAGAACAGTACTTGGCACAGAATAAGCACTTTTTAGTAATTGTGATTTGTTGATATCCGCCTTCCACTCGGCTAAAGATCTATGTTCTACAAGTCTCACACCCCAAGTCTCCAAGCCATGCATTAACTAACTGGGCTGCCAGTGGGAAGAGATGAAACTGGGTATTCGAGGATGCTGATCAGAACTGAAAGACACATATGATGCTTCATTCTCCAGAGCAGGTGCTCACACTCATGCTAAACTCCATTTTGCACCTTTAAGACTGACCTCCCACAAGGGGGTGCAGCCACCATTGTAAGAGGAAACTGGGGCTCAGCAGTCGTGCAGGTGCCATTTCCAAAGCCACACTGCTCCAATGCAACATGCGAGCTACGCACCAGACCCCAGACTACGGTACTCTCCATAATGCTGACAGCCACACAAGGCATCTTATCAGCATCAGACCTAGTGTTGCAAAGTGCACTTGATGTCTTACTGGGCCAGAGCAATGACAAACAATCCTTGCTTTTTCATTTCGCATAAGTCATTGCTCACATCCCATGCAATTAGGTGCTTCAGGGAAGAGCACAGCCTGGACGCTTGTCCTTCTGCTCCCTCTGCTGGCCAATGCTGGCATCAGCACACAGAAAGACAAAGTCATTATTCCTGCCCCTAGGGAACTTCAATGTGTTTATGGCCCTAAGGAAGCTCAATTTATGGGAAAATCAGAATCTCAACTTGAGGCAAAATCCCACGGAAGTACTCGATGGTACTTCATTCCCACCTCTGCCTTCATCCTGACCCAACTTGCTGTGTGTCCTCGCCTAACCTCGGTGCATGCTGAGGGTTGGATGAACATTTCAATGAGACCATCACAGGAAAAAGTTATCACCTGCACCATTCTAATCAAAACCTGGTATCTCAGAATGTGCCTTCAAACAGGAGATAAGAACCAAAACAGCCGAATTCATGTCTAACACTGCTCTTACCTGACACTCTCATGAAGAAAGATGAACTTAAAATGATTAATATGAAATAATGAAACCATGAAATAAACAACTCTGCGAAGAATGTTTTCATAACTCACCAGGTGACTCTAGACCCATCTGTAGGCCCAGTCAGAGGTACCTCTCCCCCCACCTCCCCACAGTTAATGAGGCTCAGAGGCAGAGTCCACCTTCCTGTTTCTTTCAAGTTCTCCATTAAACATTTTTGAGAGTGCTAGCCCAGGTTATTGCTCCTGACCCCTCAAAATCCATACTAGTGACTCTTCCCCAGAGAAATAAAACCAACAGAGTCCAAGCAGTCATGGACCCAGAGGACTTTTTAGCTCTTTGTCTCCTGTAAGAGTAGACTGAGCTCTGGGCCCCAGAAGAATCTATGTATCTGTTTAAACGGGTTAACAAGGGAAGTCTTTGTCCTTTCTCCTAGACACAGAGTCACACACAGCCTCATCCATCTGGAGAAAGCAAGTCTCAGGCCATTATCTTAAAAGGTAACTGCAAAAGGACGGGACAGAAAATGCTGCCAGTCCTTGGGCCCATGAGAGCCTGGCCTTACCATGGACTCACCTCAGAGAATTTGCCATCACCAAACCACTGGACCCACCGCATGCCAGACATAGCCTGGCGTTTGGAGGTGGCCTTCCAAGACACCACCATAGCAGGCCACCAGGAAAAGCCCTTGATCTTTCCCCATACGAGGTCGCCTATTCCATTTTTTAAAATAAACCACATGAAGGAATCCCAATGAGACGGACCACCCAGGTGGAGGAAAACTCCTGCCCACCCACTGACCCCCCATCCCCGCCAGTGGCAACTGCCTCAGAGTCTCTCTCAGGGCTTCCTGCAGGTGCCCGGCAGAACTCCTTGGGAAATGATCCATCTGTCTCCAACGTTTTATGTTTAAAAAACTACAAGTGAGAATAAGGGACTGTGGATGGGTAGGATGAATTGTTTGATAAGAACATAGGGTTTATTATATTAGATCTATAACATTTAACCCAACATCTAAGAATGAAAGAGGTCAACTAAAAACTCACAAGAAATAATATTCAGTCACTTGAATATTCCCATCACAGACCATCAGATGGGAATATTCAGTCACTTGAATATTCCCATCACAGACCATCAGATGGGCTATTATAAAGCCATTAAAATGGAAAAACATGTAGGCCACTTGCATATAAGCTTGCCATAAAATGAGTTGCCCATGAAAACAATCAAGTTAGTAAAATATATCTATAGTATGATCTGCTCTGAAGTACCACATAGAATATATATATGTGTACGTACTACAAACATATGCAGCAATGCTTGAGTGAAAACAAGCTCAACTGAACAAAACATTAGATTAATTATACAATAGAATACATTATAGACATGAAGCTGAGGCAACTCTAGTTTCTAATAAGTGAAAGCCAACCCTCAATTGTATGTATACTATGATGAAAAGAATCATTTATTATGTATAAAAAGTATATATAGTTCTAGGTACAAATTTGTAATGTTCAGAAAATCAGGTGTTGGACTTATATGTCTGGGAGATAATTAGGGTAAAGGATCATGTTACACATGAGAAATATACTTGGAGAATGAGTTCAAACATTACTCTAAAGTGACAGAAACTGTAGTTAACAGTCCCCTCTGGGTAAGTTTGCTTTTCCCTATTTAGCCTTTCATTTATTAAGCTAATTTCATGTACTGTTTAGAGAACAGTACACCCTTCCTAGTGGTACCTGATACTCGGTGCCGTCTGTGTCTCTGCCCTCTGCATCCACCTGTGAGGAGTCCAAGCTCTCCTGCTGGCTATCCTGGGCCAGGTGGGTGTAAGGGGTACTGCTGCTCTGGGGTACCACGCTGTCATCTGTGAGGTCGATAGTGAGGTAGGGGCTGCCAGGGGATGGCCATGGCGTACTTGCTGATGATGTTGCCCGCCGCCTCAGGGACTGTGAACAGAAGGACACAATAGTTTAGGCCACAGCAAACCAGGTGGATGACCAGAGACCAGTGGCACCCTCCCCCCGACCACCATTGCTTCCCAGGCAAGCAAAAAGTAGAAGATGTAAGCTAAGGAGTAAAGAGACCACCAAGGATGGCTTTCTGGGACCAAGTATGCCTTAAGCAGTGGGAGAAAGCCACCTGCATCAAAGCAGAGACAGTCGAGGACAAAGGCATAATGATGAGTGATGCCGAGAGGCTCAGAGAGCTAAGATCAGAGAGGACCACCGGTTTCCTAAGTGCTTACTGCGCGCCCAACCTTGCACAGCAGTGGACAGTTGCCGTAACCCCTGGGGCTGCCTCAAGACAATCAATGGAGATACTAGGAAGACAAGACAGTTCTGGAAGTCAGAGAGGTTTCAATCTTATTTCCGAGGGGCAAGAACTCAATTGACAGGTAATTCTTGCATT